AGTGTTTGTACGAGTACAATAGATCTACTATAGCTATCCGAGTATAGATCTAAAGTAAGAAAACTTTCCAAATTAAGAGAGGTGTAAAAACAGGGTGACGTTATATCTCGGAAACTGCGATGTCTAAAAGGTGTTCCAATGCAGTGGTAGTTGAAAAATATTTTTAAGCTACTAGACTGGAAAAAATGTTATATCAATAACAGTGATATGCGAATAATTAACCTTCGATTTTCCGACGATATAGTCATTATGTTAGGATCGTTATAGTTAAGAGTTTGGGGATATAACGTCACCCTGTCATACATCTTTGGGTAGTTGGATAGGTTTCGTACTGTGGTTCTGTACTCGGATAGCCCTTGAGCCCTACTGTACAAACACTTTAGCACCTCGATATGCCGAAAGTGAATTTGACACCGCTGAAGGGACTGCAGCACCGCCCAAATTTCGACGGAATCAAAGGCTTTCTCATAGTCCACATACACAAGACAAAATGGCTTTTTTTTCAAAACTCTTTGGTTTTCTTTACAATTTGTCGTAGAGTCTATGATACTAAATGCCTTTTGGAAATCGGCTTGCTTTTGATGGCTGAGATTAAATCCATCACTCGATCCCATTCCGTGGACGTAACAGTGTATTTACAAAATGCTAAGACAACTTCAGAGTTCCTGATGGAAAAGCCACAGGGCTATCGCAAACAGCCTTTCGTGCCTAGTAGTTAAATCATACGAACGTTAAAAAGACAAGTGAAATAAAATAAGAAGAATAACATCGATTAATAGCAATAAAATTCGTTTTATTGCAGCTTTTGGTAGAGCCATGCTGCAGCTATATTAGTAGTATAGTTGTAGCACGAATGGGTCGGCTCGACCGGGGAAGGACCACGCTCTCACAGAATACCAGAGTAAAATAGCAGCTTAACGCTGCTGTGTTTCGTATGGTGAGTGTAGAGTTATACGTGGTAGAGTTATGCTGCAGCTATATTAATGGTATAGTTGTAGCACGCATAGGTCGGCTCGACCGGGGAAAGACCACGCTCTCACATCATACCAGCGTAAAATAGCAGTTTCACGTTACTGTGTATCGTATGGTGAGTGTAGAGAACCGGAGACCCTTTTTACTGGAAAAGGGGCATACCATCTTAGTCCTCACGAGTGACAACGCAGCTTCATTTTGATTCTTTATTGAGGATAGATGTAGATGTCTATGTGTCACAGCAACCACTTACCATTAAGTGGACTGTGTGCTCGTTTGTCACCCTATCCTATAAAAAAGCTTAGTTGTATACATAGCTATTTCTGATGCACTACTGTGTTCTGCTCCGCAGTGTATAGAGACCCAGTCCATATACAGGCTGTGCGGCATTCCATTTTAGTCCTTAGATGTGACAACGCATCTGTAGCTTCTTTGTTTGAATTTGGCTGTAGATGTAGGTACCAGGGCCGCAGTAGCCACTTACCATCAGGAGACTGTATGTTCGTTTGTCAATTCAGTATTATAAAAAATAAATATGTTCAATAATTAATTTCGTATGATTGGCTTTCATAAAGATAATCCGGACGAAACGGTAATTGGTTTTTACTCAATTAACTTCAAAATTTAAATGAGTTTGTCCTCATGAAATGCGAAATGTCAATAAAGGATTTCCACTCAATGCAACGAATTAATTAATTAACGATATTCGTTAAGATTATCGATACTTTTTATTTATCGATAAAAGTTACATAATGTTGTAGTAGTATTTTATAACTCTTATTTATTTAAGAATTAAATTTGTAGAGTTTTTACCATCAAATAAGAGTAGCAAAGTATCTTTTCATAAATGTGCACACCCGGGAACTATTAACAAAACTAAACCATTAACTCATTCATGACATTAATTTCATTCATTTATTCACGGGCTGTCTGTCAAAAGTTAAAGAGTACAGACTAAAGAACATTTATAATCGATTTTATATATTTCAAGATACTTGAGAAATTGGGGGAGGGGGGGAACTTGTACTTTCTTAGCTCGGATGGTCCCGTTCTGCAGCAACTCGTACAATAATTAGCCTGCCGCGCTGCGCCACTGTGGCATTGCAAGTAATCATTGATGTACTTGTCAGTTGCATAGTATGAGTTGCTGCAGAACGGGACCATCCGAGCCAAGAAAGTGTAAGTCCCCCTCCCCAATTTCTTATTGACTGATGGAGATCAGTCCATACTCCATAACACTCTCAGAAACGAGAGGAGGCCTGTCAACAGCCGCGGGACGTATAATCTATACAAATAAATAAAATTGAAGTGTCTGTTTGTAATGTCAAAATAACAAACAAAATAACAAAAATACAATTACTAAAATGGTTTTCTGTCTGTCTGTTAGTTCCGGCTAATCTCCGAAATTGCTCGACCGATTTTGACGGGATTTTCAACTATTAACAACTACCTACTTTTATTTTAGAAAAAGAATTAGGGTTAAGTGCAAAAAAATTAAAACCCATGAATTACAATCGTTATAAATTAACTACACGCTGACGAAGTCGCGGGGAACAGTTAGTATAATTATATAAGGCTGATTTTACTTTAATTTTTAATAATAATATACTTATCTTCACGCACAATCCCTGACGGGGTAGCCAGAGAGAACAGATCGCCAAGTGTCACGATCCTTACATACCTCTTTCGCTTCTTTCAGATTCATTATCTTCTTCATACATGCACGTCTAGGTATCCGAGTACTCTCGACCCTACCCTCTTCGAGCAATTTGCTCACATGGTCTTCGAAAGTTAGTCTCGGTCTACCTCGACACCTTTTAATATTAACTTTAGCGCTATATATTTTCTTCACCATTCGGTCTTCACTCATTCGCTCAACGTGCCCAAACCACCGAAGCACGCCCTTATCAATTTTTGTGATAAGGTCATCTTTCAAACCTGCCATATTGCGAATCTCTTCGTTTCGCTTTCGGTCGGCCATGGTAACGCCGCACATTTTACGAAGAGATCGCATCTCCACTGCATTCAACTTGCTTTTATGCTTCTTCTGGCATACCCAGGTTTCGCTGCCATATAACAAAGTCGGTACCAACACTGCGTTATGTATTGCAAGGCGTGCACTCTTCACTACGCCTTGCCTTTTGACTAACGCAGTCAGGGCACCATTGACTTTGTTCCCGGCAGCGACACGCCTATCCACATCTAAATCACGTCTTCCATCCCGGCTAAAAACACTCCCCAAGTATACAATTTCATTTACCTGTTCTAGACATTCCTGATTTACCGATATTTCACACTTCGTTCTCTCTTTGTCCCTTTCAAATACCAGAATTAATAATAATATAATAATAAATATCTAAAAACTTTTACTTTACATCTATTACCAATGCAATGTCATGCCATCATATCATACTGTCGTTTTAGACAAAACCAATCTACAATAAACATCGCTGATTATGAAGTTTTCACTACTAACAAATATTTTCTCGCTTTGTTTGTTGTAGACATGATATAATTATTGCGTATTACCACAGAATATATATAATGTATTTGTTGTAGATTAGATCTACTGCAACCCAATGACACCATCACAATATTTTACTACGTATCTAGCGAGACGAGTTATGACGTAGTTCATCGCTTAAACTATTTTGTCATTAATCGCTCTCTTTCACTCACCAGTATAAAGTAGACGATTTTGTAAGTGCGAATGAGAGATCGTAACATCCATAATAGGTAAACATCCACATTAAAGAATAGGGGTTAGGGGCTCAATTATAGGCCGGGAACGCACGCGTGGTGCGCTGCCTATGTGTGTGACTCACTTATTTGTACTGATTGGCTCATCCGGCACTCTCTGTAGATATCTCAACTCATCGACTAGTCAGTAAATACAGTTTTAAATAACTAGTCAGTAAATACAGTTTTAAATAACCTATAAGATGCTATTTGTACATGCTTTTTTTAGGTCTCAAGTTTTTGGTAATTCATACTTGCCACAGTAAATATTATGCAGACGTCTCATATGGCTTATATGTTACACTCGCAGTTAGGACGATTTGACAGAGTAATTTGTAAAAATCTAACGACTAGTGTAGGAGTTGAGTGGTAGACATAGAATGGCTAACAGCACTAATATCACCTAAACAAGAGAGAATGGACTTATTATACACACATACACCAAGCCAAATACACACATACAGCCAATATTTTGTACATGGTAGAGCCATGCTGCAGCTATATTAGTAGTATAGTTGTAGCACGAATGGGTCGGCTCGACCGGGGAAGGACCACGCTCTCAGAGAACACCAGCGTAAAATAGCAGCTTGATGCTGCTGTGTTTCGTATGGTGAGTGTAGAGAACCGGAGACCCTTTTACTGGAAATGAGGCATTCCATCGTAGTCCTCACGGGTGACATCATCATCATCATCATTACAGCCCTTCACAAGTCCACTGCTGAACATAGGCCTCCCCCAAAGAATGCCACAAAGCACGGTCCTGAGCCACCTGCATCCATCGACTTCCTGCAAATCTTACCAGGTCGTCACTCCATCTAGTGGGGGGACGCCCTACACTTCGCCTGCCGGTACGAGGCTGCCACTCGAGAACTTTTCTTCCCCATCGGTTGTCGGTTCTTCGAACCATATGGCCGGCCCATTGCCACTTCAGCTTACTAATCCGTTGGGCTATGTCGGTCACTCTGGTTCTACTGCGGATATCCTCATTTCTGAGTTTATCACGCAGAGAAACTCCGAGCATAGCCCTCTCCATAGCTCGCTGAGCGACCTTGAGCTTCCTCATCCGGCCAGCAGTGAAGGACCATGTCTCAGTTCCGTATGTCATCACTGGCAACACGCACTGGGTGACAACGCATCTGCATTTTGTTTGATGTCGATGTCTATGGGCCACAGCAACCACTTACCATCAGGTGGACTGTGTGCTCGTTTGTCACCTTTATCCTATAAAAAAATAGGTATATATTACCCGGGTGAAATATAATAAAAAATGCATCATCAATATGACTTACCCATATATGTTGATGAGAAGCGTGTAACAATTAGCCAATGAATGTAGACAATTCCACCCATTTCTAAATCAACAGTTGTCCGTTTTCGAGTCAGTATATTTCGAGTTGCGGGCACACTAACAGCGTTTTATTTGTTTTATATCTTTTTGCTCTCCGCATCCCTGTTAAGTGCAAATGCAAATGGGTCTCGTTTCGCTTACAAAGACGTTTTTATGCAACAGCCGGCTATTTATTAATGTTTCTGCCTACTGTTACTCTTCATTTCAAACATGTCGAATGATAAATAGTACTGCAATATGGTGGATATTGGATGGGTTTAAGCTTTTACTGTCTATATTTAAAAGGTTAGGTAATTTTAATAAATGAGTTGTGTTGTAGATTTTCTTCTGCAATATGACCACAAATAGGACAAAAGTATCCTATGTCCACGATATAATGTCCCTCTCTGCTAAATTTCAGATGGATTTTATGCTACCGTTAAGTGTGATTGAACGACAAAATCCAAATTTTCGCCACTACCACTATCACTTGAATATAACCCTCCCTCATAGAGTGCCAGAAAGTACTACAGTCCAGAGCAGTGGCTAGGCACATGCTTAGGGGGACAAGGTTACAAGGGGCACGCGCTGAAGTTTTAAACGGAAAAAATTCCTACTTACATAAATTAAAATATCATACTTTTAATAGAGGTGTAGAGCTTCCTACGTCGCCCTTACTTTCCCATCACATTTTTAACGGTACACTTGCCCTAATTATTTTGCAACGAAACTAAGTATATTAAACAAATTATGATATATATATATATATATATATATATATATATATATATATATATATATAATACACTTATGGCCGCCAGAGGTCGCCAATGAAATGCTGTCCTCGGGCGCTGTCGAAATTTAATCCGCCACTGGTCTGGGTTACACAGACGGACTAATTAAATGCCTTTTGGCATTTTCCCCCTGCCAACCCCCGAAACAAAATATTACCAAATATTAATAGAACTTTCGGAAGAAACGGTAGATATTATATTAATATAAAAATATTACGAATATATTGTTTGCTTTTACTGTGCCGTGTAGTGTATCTACCCACATTACTATCCCATAATATCATCCCGTTGGTGTCGTAAAATGACAGAGAGATAGGAAGCAGAGGATGGGCAGGGACATATTCCTGATAACAACTCAAAATAATTAAAAAAAAACTGCTGTTGCCAACCCGCCTGCTAAGCAATGGTAATTTTTTTTATAGCACACATTGCACCTGAGTGTAAGTGGTAGCTGTGACCCATGGACATCTTCATTTATCCTCAATAAAGAATCAAAATGAAGATGCGATGTCACCCGCCGTGAGGACTAAGATGGATTGCCTCTTTTCCAGTAAAAAGGGGTCTCCGGTTCTCTACACTCACCACAAGAAATACAGCAACGTTGAGCTGCTATTTTATGCTGGTATTCTGTGAGAGCGTGGTCTTTCCCCGGTCGGGCCAACCCATTCGTGCTACAACTATCTAATACTAATATAGCTGCAGCATGGCTCTACCTCGTATAAAATCCCATATATGAGGCAAATACGGGTGACAATTTTGTTTAGCAATAGATTTTTGACAATCTGTAATGGATAATACTTAAACATTATACGAAATTAACATATTAAACATATTATTTCAGTTAAATTTGAAATAGTAAAGTTATTTGTACAGTTAGTTTAGGTACTTTCGCGTTTTCTGCAGTAATCTGTGATAAAATCAATAGCAGTGAAACATGTCACCTAGCAGAATTATTTAAATTTATAGTTAGCAGAACGAAAACGTAAGTTAAGTACGGGATTTGAGATGATTGTCTTCGTGTTTGGATCAGTAAGCTAAGTTGTTGACCTGCAGTTACTCCCTGCCGTCAAACCCGTTCCTCGGGATGGTCTCGACTCGACTGCTTGGAGGCTGAACTAGTGTCGCGCGTTGACCTCGAGTCGTAATTCGCAATAAAACAGTAAGATCGGTACTCTGATTATGCTGACTGTGTCTCATCTTAATAATACATTTCATTAGGTAAAAATTTTTGAGAAAAAAAGAGGCTTAAAATGGAGAAGGTTTAAAAATTACCTATTAATTATGTTGAATAAAAGAATATCCATTATATTATTCCAGCATATGAGAAAGGTGACAATGGGGTATTACAGAAGTATACCAACTTCTCTGACGTGTAGAATTCTTCGTGATGTTATTTACCGCTGAGCATAATTTCTGTGCCAGGGCTTGAACTCGGGTTGCTCGCTGTACTACAAATCATAAGGTGAGCGTTCCGCAGCAACTCGTATTAGGACAGAGCTTTAAACTCTTCTCTATTCCAAGTATCTCTCAGAACTGAAAGAAGGCTTGTAGCCAACAGTGGATTTTCTAGAGCCATATTTGAAATATCGAAATATAATCAATGTGAGAACTAAGAATTAAAAAGTTCATAAAACTATATAGTATTTAATTTGAAAAATCTTGACGATTTCGGGTTCCCCGTTAATGAGAGATAATATCGAGGTGTCCCGTTAGTGTCGTATCTGACGTTTAAATTCCCCAGGAGCGCGGGCGACTGCGCCGGCGCACGCAGCCGCATGATGCACGACACGAATAATAAACCAAGCCACTTCCTGCCGAGCGATAAGCGCTTCACACCACTACACACATCGAATAACATACAAACACATGGACACTTCTAACCCGATGTAATTGTGTGTCTATGTTGGTGTCCATCATGGACTCGCTCGTGTTTATTTCATTTATTTGATGTTTCCATGTCCTCTGGTTTTTACGTACGCAATATTGATCGGTTCTGAGCGGTATGAGTCAGGTTGGATTTTATTTTGTTGCTGCATCGGAATGTGAAATATAATACAAAAAGATGTGTTTTTTGAGGAAATGTTGTGATTAGATAACATTATTTGATGAGTCAGATGTCATTGCGTATTCGTTTTCACTACGTTGAATGAATCATATTTAAAAATAAACGTTGTGTGTATCTAATAGCTGTTCTGTGAAACATTGAATATTATCAATTGTAATGCTACTTAACTATACATACATATTATAGTTTTTAGTAAAAAATAAAAAGATTAACTTATTGTAGTGGCAATTCGGTATCATTATTTTTATTTAATATCATTCTAGTTAACTAAATGACTGACGGAATTATTTATCTAAAATTTCGTCGACCACAAACTAAATCAGAAGTGGTTACTACGGTTGAAGTGGAATAATATTCAATTTCCGTCTGATATCATCATGGTGGTAAACGAAAACTGAGTTGATTCAGGTGTTACTTATGCTTACATAATATATTATGTATCGATGTGGGAGCCACCGCGGTTTATCCCTCACAAAGAGATAATCTCAACGTTGATATTAGAGTTTGTATTTAAAAATATCGAATAAAATTCTTCATACTTTGTAAAGTTAGTCCTTGTGATGAACAACATTTTTGTCATTTGTATGATTGTCTGACGTAAATTATTATTTAATTATTTTTAATGGACAAACGTGTAGGGGCGGGTAAGAATATCCACTACCCCATATTTTCCCGTGGGTGTAGTAAGAGGCGACAGAGGGAAACTGCATCTTTCTGATAAAAGCAAAAAGCAATACAAAAACTGCGATTGCCAACCCGCTCGCCAAGCGTGGCAACAATAGCAATATCCCCCCCCCCCCCAACCTATGAGCAACGACACTAATAAACGGCCACCAGTCCCCGGCGTCTCGCTATTCCTGGCGACGGTGGCGACCATGGTAACTGCAGGGCAGGGGGTGCTAAGAATCTCCGGTGGAGGTTCGGTTGCTACCTCAACCTGGCAAATTATAACGCACGCACCCTGAGAACTGACGTGAAGATCCTGGAGCTGGAAGAAGAGATAGAGAAGTTGCGCTGGAACATTGTAGGATTAGAGGTCCGAAGAGAGGGGGAGGACTCGGTAATCCTCGAATCCGGCAACTTGTTCTATCACCGCGAGGGCGACCATCTGTCCCAAGGAGGTGTCGGATTTATCGTCCACAAGTCTCTGGTTATCAACGTTGTAAAGATTGAGAGTGTGTCGATGAGGGTTGGGTACCTTATACCCTACTTAGAATCACCAAACGGAATTTGCTGAAGATCATGCAGGAGGGCGACCATCTGTCCCAAGGAGGTGTCGGATTTATCGTCCACGAGTCTCTGGTTATCAACGTTGTAAAGATTGAGAGTGAGTGTGTCGATGAGGGTTGGGTAACCTTATACTCAGAATCACCAAACGGAATTCACTGAAGGTCATACAGGTTTACGCACCAACCTCAGCACATCGCGATGAGGAGGTGGAGAAAATGTATGAGGATATCTCTAGAGCGATGCATTCCTCCAAAACCCACTATACGGTGTTAATGGGAGACTACAACGCAAAACTAACGGTTAGCTGAAAGTAAGGAAATTCGGAATATAGCAACGGAACCCAAGGGGCAGTGATCGCGAGGGTGAAAACTGCTAGCGATCACCGAATGGTTCTGTTCTTAAACGTTAAGTTGGAGAGGTGTTGTTTGTGTGTCGTGGACATCTGAGGTGTCGTGGACGTCCGTCCCCTCTTGCTCTAATCTAAAGTCCCGAAACCTTTCAGCTCGAGTTACAAAACCGTTTTTAGTGCCTAGAAGATTGCAATGCAGTGGACGATATGAATGACAAGCTCGTGGGAAGTGTTCATGCGGTAGGAGCTAAGTTTTGCATGACCTGCCGTAGAAGAATACAAAAACTTTCCGATCACACTCTTAATCTCATGGCTGTTAGACGGGAAATGAAGCTGTAGCTTCAGTAGATTTGATAGCATACAGGCAACTGAACAGACTTTAATACTGACAGAGATCTGTCTGCCAGAAAGAGCCAACTGTCGAAGCTGAAGACCGAACGTGGCAGCATCGTTTCCGGACAACCTGAGATTTTCAGTGAGATTGAGACGTTCTATGGGCAGCTGTACACGTCATCGTTGGAGCCACACGCAAGTGTGAGTAACGATCCAAGAGCGAGTCTTATCCGACACTATTCCAAAGATATCCTGGACGTCAGTCTGAGCGAGATTGACGTCGTAGAATGGGTCTCCAGCACCTTAAAAACGGCAAGTCCCCGGGCGAGGATGGAATTCCAGCAGAGCTTCTGAAAGCGGGTGGAAAACCGGTA